GGAACCAGGCCCAACTAGAAGCCTCTGGTCAGCAAGGGACTCTCAGGTAGTGTTATCTCTAACCTCCACCCCACTACCAGTCTTCCCAGCACAAGACTCCACCTCCTTGGTATGTAGATAAAAATTTTCTGTGGCTTTTTTTTTTATTCCCCCAGAGTCCATCTATTCTATTGGTATTTCCTAGCTCTGGCTCCCTACAGAGACTGTCCTTTCAGACTGCAGGCCCCAGTTCTATCTAGAAGCCTGTGGTCAGCAAGGGACTCTGAGGGAGGGTCATTTAAGAACCCCATCCCACTTCGAGGCTTCCCACCCCCAGTATCGACATCTTTGGTACAAAGATAGACATTTTCTGTGGCTTTTTTTTTTATTCCCCCAGAGTCCATCTATTCTATTGGTATTTCCTAGCTCTGGCTCCCTACAGAGACTGTCCTTCCAGGCTGCAGGGCCCAGTTCCACTAGAAGCCTGTGGTCAGCAAGGGACTCTGAGGGAGGGTCATTTAAGAACCCCATCCCACTTCGAGGCTTCCCACCCCCAGTATCGACATCTTTGGTACAAAGATAGACATTTTCTGTGGCTTTTTTTCCTTTTTCTTCCCTTGGGACCCATCTATTCTATTGCTAATTACCAGGTCTGCCTCTCTTCACAGACTGTACTTCCAGTCTGCAGGAATGTGGTCCAAATAGAAGCCTCTGGTCAACAAGGGACTCTGAGGGAGTGTCATCTCTGACCCCGCCCCATTTCCAGACTTCCCAGCCCAGACTTCTCCTTCTTGGTAGGTAGAAATTTTCTGTGGCTTTTTTTTTTTTCTTTTTTTCCCCTGGAGCCCATCCATTCTATTGCTAATTACTAGCTCCCCACTAGAAGCCTCTCGTCAGCAAGAGACTCGGAGGGAGGGTGATTTCTGACTCCCACCCCACTTCCAGGCTTCCCAGCCCCAAACTCCACCTCCTTTGTAGGTAGATAGAAATTTTATGTGGCTTTATTTTTTCTTTATTTCCCCAATAGCCCATCTATTCTATGGCAAATTTGTAGCTTTGCCTCCCTTTAGAGACTGTCCTTCCTGGCTGCAGGCACCAGGTCCAACTAGAAGCCTCTGGTCAGCAAGGGACTCTGAGGGACCATCATCTCTGATCCACACCTTATTTCCAGTCTTCCAGTCCCCAGACTCCATCTCCATGGTAACTAGATAGAAATTTTCTGTTTTTTTTTTTTTTTTTTCTGTCCTTCCAGGCTGCAGACACCATGTCCAACTAGAAGCCTGTGGTCAGCAAGGGACTCTTAAGGAGAGTCATCTCTGATGGCCACCCCACTACAAGTCTCCCCAACCCCTGGCTCCACCTCATGGTAGTTAGATGGAAATTTTCTGTGTTTTTTTTATTTTTCTTTTTCCCTTTGAGCCAATCTATTCTATAGCTAATTCCTAGCTCTGCCTCTCTTCACAGACTGTCCTTTCAGGCTGCAGGCACCAGGACCTACTAGAAGCCTGTGGTCAGCAAGGGACTCTGAGGGATGGTCATCTCTTATGCCCACGCCATTCCCAGATCTCACCTCCTTGGTAGGTAGATAGAAATTTTCTGTGTCTTTCTTTTCTTTTTTTTCCCTTGGAGCCCATCTATTCTATTGCTAATTCCTCATTCTGCCTCTCTTCAAAGCCTCTCCTTCCAGGCCTCAGGCAACAGGTCCAAATAGAAGTCTCTGGTCAGCAAGAGACTCTGAGGGAGGTCATCACTGAAGCCCACCCCACTTCCAGCCTTCCCAGCCTCTGACTCCACCTCCTTGGTAGGTAGATAGAAATTTTCTGTGGCCTTCCTCCCCACCCGCCTTTGAGCCCATCTAGTCTATTGCTATTTCCTAGCTCTGCCTCTCTTCACAGACTCTCCTTCCAGGACGAACACACCAGGTTTAACTAAAAGCCTCTGGTCAGGAAGGAACTCTGAAAGA